CAGGACCCGCGGAAATCCGCGGGATTTTAGAGGGGGGGGGGGTGTAAAAAGATATATAGAGACTGTCTAAATTAAAACCACCAAGAACTTTATTTGCCATTCAGGCCAGTAACAAAATATACGTGTTTAACGTCCCCGCCCGCTTCCTTTTTGGGGGCCGCCTCCATTTTTTTTTTTTTTTAATTTGTTTAATTTTGTTTTTTGTTTTTGTTTTTGTTTTGAAATTTTTTAAAAACAGCGTCCCCGCCCGCTTCCTTTTTGGGGGCCGCCTCCTATTTTTTTTTTTTGAATTTTTGAATTTTAAAAAAAAAAATTGAAAGAAAAAAAACATGAAAAGCACTGCTAAAATTTATTTCTGATTTAAAAAAAAAAATAAAAATAAAATGTCGGCCGCCATCTTGAAAAATAGCCCGAATGTCACGGAAAATGTACGGAGCGGCCATTTTAAAAGAAAGAAAAAAAAAAAAAAAAGGGTCTCCTCCTTCCCATTTTTCGAAAAAACAGGACGCTGAACATGTTTGTTTTTTTAATTTGGCCTTATATAAAAAATTAAAAAAAACGATCCAACTGTACCGGTACTTATTCTTTAAGCCACTGGAACTGCGTAGAGTTTCGTAGTGTGGCGTACCGACTACGCAGAAATTAGGCTGCGTATTAATGGGAAAATAGTCCCTGCGTAGGTTATGCGTAGGCTGGCGTACAGGTTTGCTTATGGTTGCTTACTGTGTGGAAAGCTTTTACTGCTTTGTCGATCTGGCGTAGGGTAGCGTACTGTTGCGTAGGCATGTAGCGTAGTGTTGCGTAAAAAGTCGTACTTTCTGCGTCAAGTTTCTACGCCGAAAGTACGCGAAAAAAATTAAACATGTTAAATTGTTTTCGTTCATCTTGCGTACCCCTTTCCGTCCCTCAGCATATAGTAACGTAGGCCAGCGTAGTTGGTACGCAACACTATATACGCAACTCTACGTATTGACCCCACGCCAATTAGTAACCCGCAAGTGTCACAAATAAAGTATTAAAAATATGCTCATCTGACCCTAATTAAACGCCTAAAACCCCCCAGATTTCGGGGGTTAATGGCCCCTTGAAACCCGTGGACCCCACGCCTATATACCCGCTGCGATCTAACTGACCCCCCCCCCCCCCCCCCACTTTGAAAAATGTTTCTTGGAGCCTTCATGTAACATGCAAGAATGGTGCATGGTGATGCCGATTTTTTTTTCTGCACCCCCCCCCCAAACAATTTTACTCATTACGCAACTGATTGTTTTGCAATGTATGAAGTCACATGCTTCTGTCTGCATGGTTGATATTGAACTATTAATATGCAAATGTACAATTTATAACCTTATTCAATGCTTTCTTGTAATTTACTGTAAAGATAAGAAACAAATTTTTGCCACTTCGGCCCGGACGCTGTTGTGTTGACGGGTTCTTCGATGGATGGATAGACGTACGTGTAGTTATGTAGTTGTACGAATATTGGCCTGCTTGGCCCCCAAACTCTTCGACTCTAGCGCAGCTCAGTCTTGGTCAAAGCGCCCCAGCGGCAGCACCGTGTATACTGTATGTGTTGACTGAAGTTAGCTTGCGACTGAACTGTCAGTCCAATGGTTTTCTTGTGAAAAGTTTCCTTTAGAAAATGATAATCAAAATTAAGTATAAATGGCCGTAATAATCACAAAATAAGCTTTGATTTCATACCTCCATTCACGAAAACTATATAAAAATCGCGGCAATCATGATGGAAATAGGTCTCTAAGTTTGGACGTCGACGGGAATTAGCCCCGTGTATCTCTCTGGCTTGTGCAGCGAGTACAAAGCACACCCTATAGTAAGATGGCTTACTCGGGGGTTATCCCGCCCTTTGAATAGAGCATTTCATACGTAACATAATGTGAGTTGATGGTCATCTGTTGTGTGTCTGTTTGATACAGCTACTACAAAGCACATCATATAGCAAGACGCTTTACTCTGGGTAATCCCGACCCTGTGCATAGTGCATTTAATACGCAACTTAATATGAGTGGATAGTCATCGGTCGTGTGTCTACGGATGTAATGTTGAATATCCATGAGGTATCTCTGTCGTCACGCATATCCTGCATTATGCATATCGCGTCTGTTTTCGCCCTGGACGTCGACACGGAGGAGGACCTCGGGCGGAGTATAGCCAATTCCACAGAGTAGACTCTCCCGCGGACGATGGCACCGGGCACGGGTACCCCGAGGGGAGGGTTCAGGAGGAGATAGCTGCACCAATTTCGGTCGGCGATCTCATTAAAAAAAAACAATAGAATACAAAGGCTCGCGGAGACGTCGCGCCCCCCGCGGAGCCTTAGCGTATTATTATTATAGATATATATATATATATATATATATATAAACCCTTAGGAAGAACTTACTGAAGCTCCTATGGGTGGGGGTAAATACCAGTAACACTTAAAAAATGTATATCATCCATTATTGTTATAGAAATTATTATGATTATTTTTGGAAATATATATCATCCATTGCTTTCGTTATTTTTCAGACATATGCAGAAAACTTTGATGCTGCTACATATGTGACCACACTGTTTACAGTGCCTGTAACAGCACGGTACGTCAGGTTTCATCCTTTAACATCATTTGTTGCTACGTCTTTGATATTCGAAGTACTTGGTATCAACACCTGAACAAAAACGAGTTATCGTTGAATTGATTTATTGTTTTATTTAATTATTTTGTTATCCTTGTTTATACTTATTTATTTATTTATATATTAAAGAGAGTGTAGCATGGCAAATAATTGTTAACGCCATCTACGTCTTCTTTCGGATAACTGCACGTAAAAGAATGGACTTCGTAGTCAGCGACTTAATCTCTACTTGGTCAGCGCGCGCTAGCGTTTGCGAAACAGACCGAGTTTCTCCTTTGCGCTTAAAAAATGTACAACTTTTCCTATTTTCCCCGTATCAATTTCTCTCTCTCTCTCTCTCTCACTACCTTTCTACTTACTACTCTCTCTTTCTCTCTCCCTCTCTCTCTCTCTCTTCTCTCTCTGTCTTTCTTCCTATCTCTCTCTCGTTTGCTCCCTCTTCCCCTGTATCTCTTTCTTTCCCTCCCTCTCCCACACTGCTTCCCAAATTCCATTCTGTTAATCTCTTTCCCCCATCCCTTCCTTTCTAACTCTATTCCTGTCTCTTTCTCTCTTTCTCTCTGTCTCTCCCTCCCCTCTCTTTTGTTCTCTATCCATCCTGTTGTACTGTAATTTATCGCTTTCATCTGAAGGTGTCAATTTTACTCAAATAAATGTTTAAATACAGATTAAATAGGCGCATGTTGCTATGTTGGGCAAGCACGAATCACATAATGTGAATCTATATATGCATGTGTTCCATGAAAAAAAAAAAAAAAAAAGCAAATGGTTATTGCGAACAAGCTATAAGCGATGTTAATTGTTTTTTTTAACTTTTCAATGAGTAAAACTAACATGCTTTTAGTATGATACATTGAAAAGATTGAAGATAAACTCCAGTACTGGTAAAAAAAAAAAAAAAAAAATTCTCACAGAATCAAACGAAACTTACACTGAATGTTCAAGATTACAAATAAATGACATGTGCCAAACAGTTTTGGAAGAAAATGTATACTGGCTGAGTAATGAGCATAGAAAGACAAGGAAATCAAGGTGGTACTAGCCCCGACACCGTGTGTGTTGTCCCATATATAGCTTCCTATGTGAGTGCTTGTTACTTTACCAAGACTCGGTCAAATTTATTACGACTTTGATGACTCCAGAACCTTGCAGTGCACACCAATACTTACATGCTACATGATCAACTGTTTCTGATCCTTTCCACACCTTTTCTTTCACATTGCAATCGCATTACCAGTACTAAAGTTTATCTTTAACCCTAAAAAGGCCGGGCTGTTTGAAATCTTAGTACGGCCGGGTGGGGGCGTTATGCCCCCCTTAAGATTTCGGGCGTAAAGCTGCCGATCTCCGAGAAACTTTGAACGTTGAAGTTTGAAGTGAAGTGTATAGCATAATATGATAATTTTTTATAAATTTACTTATTTGCAAATTTATGATAATTTATGCAAACAAGGTCATTAAATCACATTCGTACTCATAAATCATAAATTATTCATATTAAAGCATGCTTTTCCACTTCATATATTCATCAGACCATTTGGAATAAAAATACAACAAACAAATTATATTTCATTTTTTTTCCTTATGTATTTTATTGTTTTTTGTTGTTTTATTTCATATCTTACTACAATTCAATTATTTTGACTCCCAAAACAACCAGCTAAACTTTAAACAAGTCCCGATAACCAATGTTTAATCTATTTTTAGGAAAAATGACATTCCATATGTTTTGTACACAAATTACAAATATGCGCAATTTTCGGGCTGACATGCAAAGACAAAACCTTGTAACTAACTTTAGGTCCAATTTTCATTGTTTTTTTCAAGACTCGAAAGAAAAAAATGTCAGCGAGCGGCGGGGCGCCGTCCATATGCCAAATTTGTTCTTTGGGCCCTCGAAAATTTAAAAATTTGCACCCCCCCCCCCAAAAAAAAAAAAATGAGCGCCATGGGGGGGGGGCACATCCCCCCCAAAATCCGTCGGTCTCCTGTTTGCCTACTCACAAGCATTCACATGATTTCTTAGCAGCCATGGTAAAACGAATAAACCAACCAACCTTCAACGATATACTTGTTTCTGTTAACATTCTCTCTGCTATTATATTGAATAAATAAAGTGTATGACAAAAATTATATTTGAGACATGTCTCCACTATATATACGGTATTCGCTCGTCGTCCAGATTATTGGTTCTAAACAACACAGCCTACGCATGTGATTCATCCCTACGTTCGAGATGATTGGTTGGTTGCTTATGTTGTGGGTGCTGTTGTAGCCCCGCCCAACATTGATTCTGAGTCGCCAGACAACATGCGCACGATGAGTTGAGGAAGACTGGTTTGCTGATCAGTATCACTTTCAGTTAGCATACCTCGGGCTTGGACTTGTATTCTAAGCATCTCTTAGTGATCCTCAATTTTTAGACGAACTGGTTGTTATCAAACATCTCTGTATTAAGGTAAGACACCTAACCTGCTTGATATTTGAATGCTATGGATGTGTGTTATTCTAAGTACAGTGGCCGTTTTTCTAATATAATGAAGTAAAGAATGTATATGTTTATTATCATATATTTATTAATTTAGTATTATTTAGTCAGCTTAGCATTCTTGTGCAAGAGAAAACTCCTTATCAAACCTCATCATATAAATACAAAATTTGCAAGTCATACTATTCTAAATGTACTAAAATATGATTGTAAACTTTCTGTTATAATCAATTAATCAGTTCATAATTGGTTTTCACTTCAACTCGAAATCGAGATCGGGTTTTCACTTTCTACACAATTTAGACTCCACTAGGTTAAATTTTAAGTCCGGTCAGACTTGTTTTCAGAAATTGTTTGCGATGGCGATGGCGACAATCTGCTGGCACCAGATTTAGATTGACGTAAATTTACTTCATCAGGAGCAAACTTTTGAATAGGGTATCATTAAACGAAGAACGTTATTACGTTGTCATGAAATGATTTCAACTTCACATTTATCGTGAAATGTTAAACATAAGCTATCAAAGTTTGGTTTCCTATTTCTTTATAAGCACTGTATTGAGGGTAAGTTGCTTTTTAAAAGGTAATACAAAGTGTTGGTATGGGGTCACGAATTTGGTTCAAGTGAGCATATTGGAAGCATATGCGACCCTACAATGTACAGTTTCAAGTTTCAAGTTTCAAGTTTCAAGTTTTATTTATCTTTCTTTCATAACACACTTTACAAATATGACATGAATCTAACAAGTTTACAAAATATGGCGATACAAAAAGATCGTTGTCTCGATTGAAATCGAGTCTAAAGTGATGAAATTGTAAATAATAAACTCTTTTCGCCGTATAGGTCCCTCACAAGGCCAAGATATTAATTTAGCTATAAAACAATGTTTATTGACTAAAATTGACCAATTGGCTATTTCCGTTTGAAAATTATATATCCCAACTACATATTCTGAGATTTTCATCGTCGCAGCAACCATTTATGGCCGTAGGCGCTATTTGAAAGTTATCTAAATTTACCGGGAGCACCGGTAAATTTTGATAATCATTTTTTTTCTTCTCAGAAGCAAAAGTGGTTAAGGGGCTTATTTTGTTTAAGTGCTTATACATCCACATCCACATCCGCAACCTTTGCACGGAAGCTGCACGGGCTCCGTACGATTTTTGTGCGGAGGCTGCGGAGACTGCACGGCTACTGCATTCAAATTGCACGATTTCCGTACAATCTCCGAGCAGCCTCTGTACGGATTTGCCCCGGCCTGCCCCCGAGGGCCAATACAATAAATGACAAGATGCTCGTAGATAATGTAAACAAAAACATTGTAGCCCGTAGCCTCCTACGATGTCTACGAAAAATCGTAGACTAATTTATCGTACGGCGACCGGGGCAAATGTAATCCAGGCATGAGCTGTGGGAGACTTTTAAAAATCAGTATAGTTTAGATACTGTAATCATATTTGCCAGTCTCTCCTCACCCCATAAGGCTATGACACCTTGCAAATTACACCTTTTTCTGTTCATGTAGGATACTTGAAATCGCCTCTGGTAGAGGAAGGACGCCCTCAAGCATGGGGTCCATACTAAAGCTACATGTAGTTGCAGCCATCGTTGTGATAGTGAGTGGAGTTCAAACAGTCAGAGTGTCAGGTAAGACCACCAACCCGATCTCCCCCCATTTAATGCTAGCCACAGTTGGCCAGGCTGGGCGTGCGGATTCGTGGATCACGTCATTTTCGACTTGCGGCAGTTAGGGAATTGAGATCGCAATATAACAATTAGGCGTTGTGGGTTGCCTGTAATCCAGCTAAAAGTGAAAGTTATAAACTGATTCAGCCGAAGACACAGATTTGAAACTGAGTCACGTCTTTCGGATGGTGACGTTTAAAGGTCGGTTCCCAGACGTAAACAATCATATCTGATTGATACACGTCTTTAAAAACAATACCCAATACACATACACGCACAGCATTGACAAAACGGCCATATTGTTGACGGTGGAGGGGGGGGGGGGGGAGGGGGAGGGAAAGGTCATGAACTACGCACTTTACCTTTATAGAAGACTGACATTTACTCAGTATATAAAACACATGAATGGGGGGGGGTGTGTGGCTGCTTCTCTTTAATAAATTTAGAAATTTGAATATTTCAAAATAAAATCCATATGATCATGGGTGTCGATCCCGGGGGGATGGGGGGGGGGGATATATCCCCCCCCCCCCAATATTTCAGGTGGGGGGATGGCCTGTACAATCATCCCCCCCCCCCCCCCCCAATAATTCACCATTAAAAAAATAAAAAAATGAAGAGAAAAATTAATGATGAGAGTCCGATGAGAGTAGTTATTACTCGCAAGATGACCATCAATACACACATTTTGCTATCTCAATTTCAATATACATACATAATATACGAAGTAAATAAGACAACCGTATATGAGACAAGAATAAATTGAATTCTCGCTCATACGACTTCATCAGGAATTGATGAATTTATTCAATTTGTTCAATCAACAGCATCATAGAAATGCAGTGCGCCAAATGCAAAGACGCAGCATCAAAAGCAACGAGCTAAAATGTTAAGCGCGAAGCACAAAAGTAGCAATCTGCAATGCACATCAGACAATCCTGGACAGTGTACACATAGATGAACTCTGCGACGACTTCGTGATGAGATCGGAGACAAGGAGAACAATTTTCGGACATTAGTATGACATATAAAATAGTTCACTAGTTGTTATGTTGTTTCCGTTCACCCTTTTTAAAATTCACGTCATTGTATCTTTATTTTTATTTTTTTCACTCATTTTATTTCCTGATATTTCCTAAAACATTTTTTATTTTTGGAGAAAGATTATTATGTCACAACTTATTTGTGACACAACTTATTTTCAGTGGGGACACTGAATTCAGACAAGGATTAATACAGAGAACAGAACAACGAATCGTCTTCTTTCTCTAATAATTTAGCGAACAGGGCAAAGCTGTTAGGGGGCAACTGAATTCAGACGTGGATTAAGAGTAATAATCAAATGAAATGTCAAAGTACACGATAAAACTAATCGTCTTCTTTTACTAATAATTTAATGAAACGTGAAAGCTTCCGCGCTACGCGCGGAATGGGCGAAAATGAATACAGACAAGGATTAAGAGTAATAATTTATTGAAACATTAAAGCTTTCGCGGTTCGTGCGTTAGGGGGGAACCTGAATTCATGAAGGACACGATACAACAAATCGTCTTCTTTCTCTAATAATGTAATAAAATGTGAAAGCTTTCGCGCTTCGCGCAAGAATGGGCTAAAAAGAATACACCAGTTTACAGTTGTGTGCGCCATTTTAAACAAGACCAATGACCTAGAGGTCATGTATTTATCGTAAATTAAGATTGCGCCCATGCAAATTATGATAATATCATTGCCTACGCGCTGCGTTGTGCGCGCAAATCATCATTTGCATGGGCGCAATCTTAATTTACTCATAAATACCAGAGGTCAGAGGTTATTGGCCCCGTTCCGGGGCCAATGACCCGAGGTCAACTGTCTGCGCATGCGCACTGATACAACTGTAAACTGGTGTATTCAGACAAGGATTAAGAGTAGAGAATGGTACATAGAATCGTCTTCTTTCTTTAATAATCTAATGAAACGTCAGAGCTTCCGCGCTATGCGCGGGGGAAGGGGAACTTGATTCAAACAAGGATTAAGAGTCGAGAATGGTACATGGAATCGTCTTCTTTCTTTAATAATCTAATGAAACGTCAGAGCTACCGCGCTACGCGGTATTCAAACAAGGATTAAGAGTCGAGAACGGTCCAACGAATCGTCTTCTTTCTCTAATAATTTAGTGAAACGTCAAAGCTTCCGTGCTTTGCGCGGGGGGGGGGGGACTCCTCCTCCCTGCACCCAATCCCTAGGAACCGCGCTTCGCGTGCTCACTACCGCCCCCCCCCTAAAATTAAATCCTGGCTACGCGCTTGGGAGGGGTGCACTTTCCACACGCTTCTACCACTTTGGTTGCTTTGATCCACTGCAGAAAATATGTTGGCACCTATCACCCCCCCCCCCCCCAACCGCGGATACAAATTGACACCCTTGCATATGATTAATTTAATTATCAACATCCTATGGAAAGCACAGGTCTAAAAAATGATGTGCTAAATCTCGGGTGCTGTGTACTAATTTGCACCACACATGCCAAGTATAGCCCTTGGCCCCGGCCCCCCCACTCAGGTTTCAAAATGACCGCATGCGTGTTGCCAAAATGTCCTTTTCGTAACAAAAGAAAAAGGTCGAGCCGTATTGACTTTACACACCGGACTTTTGCTGAAAAGGGGGGGTCCGGAAAAAGGCTCGTATACAAAAGAAAAAGGTCGAGCCGTATTGACTTTACACACCGGACTTTTGCTGAAAAGGGGGGGTCGGTTGGAACACGCATATGCGTACCCTAAATAACACTGAGTGGGGGGGCCGGGCCCTTGGCGTGCATGCAGCGTTTAGGAAGCGATGGCGAGCAGATTAATGAGTGCTGGAAACACGTGCTATTCGAGAAATTGCACCCAAAGTGTGACCCTGCCTGTTTTAGCACTTGACGAAACACCGGTAGTGCTGTCGCTCCATGCGCAAGCGCACTAGCGTTCCAGGTGCTAAGGCTGTGCTTCACACAAAATAAATTCATAGTAATTTAAAATTCAAATGAGATAGGTCGCCACTCGGCTATAAACACTATGAATATGACTGACAAAGAAAGCGGACAAAATATACAGTTCCTCAGGTAGACAAAAGAACATCCCTTTACTGCTATTATGTAAACATGTGTAGAACAGGTGTCACATGCTTGTTCACATGTTTACATAATAGCAGTGAAGGGATGTTCCTTTGTCTACCTGAGGAACTGTATATTTTGTCCGCTTTCTTTGTCAGTCATGTCCATAGTGAAAAGAGCGGGGATCTGAGAAGGTATTCATATTTTTGGAGAATGTAAGGTGGAAGGAGATTGTGTATGTACAAAGAAAGTGTATTGAATGCGTGTGCATATTCCAGGTGCTAAGGCAGTGCTTTACACACACACAAAATCAAAGTAATTTAAAATTCAAATGAGATAGGTCGCGACTCGGCTATAAAAGAGCGGGGATCTGAAAGGGTATTCTTTTCATTGTCTAATAATTGTGCTTTTGCATGATGATACCATTTCCAACATTCTACATGGCCGCAAGACTACCACTGCATGTATGCATGAAACAGTTTTGTGTTTTTACCCTTGGATACAAATACATGTATTACTTGTTGAAGGGATGTTGTGTTTTTACTATGTTTTTTTGTCAATAAAGAAGTGAGTCTTTTTAACTGACATATCGTCGGCCTTATTAAAAAAGGGCCTTAACTGCTTATGGCCATTCCGAGATAATCACGTTTAAAGGTTTTGGCCTCTCTAATAATCAAAAGTTTGTGGTCGTTTTTTTTTTTTTTTGAAGCCAATTTCGAAAAATATGTTAAGTTATTAAGTTTTACATGAAATGTGTTAAATGTGTTATAAAATATTCAGAATTGTACATGCTATGTGCAAAAAAACATGTTAGTGCCTTTTTTGCATCAGGCTTGAATGCAGCGTATTTATGCCAGAAGGGCCGTAACCTACTCGGCATTGTGCCAAAAGGGGCTTAACCTACGCGGCGTTATGCCAAAAAGGCCTTAAAGGTAAAGACCAGTATTGGCAACGCCCCAATTTCAAAAAATGAAATGGAAGCTCTCATTACCAATCATGTGAAAGAATATGTTTTGACTAATACATGATGATAAAAAATTTGCCGGGAAACCGCCTACTAATTCATATATTTGGTAAATTTATTTCTCTCATGGTCTGGTGAGAGAGATAGGGTAGTCCCATATACATCTTTCTGTGTATAGTGCTTGTAACTTTACGAAGAATGGGCCAAATTTCTTATCATTTTGATGATTCCAGAACCTTGCAGATGCTAGATGCTAGATGATCAACCTTTTCTGATCGATTCCACAACGTTTCTTTCACAATGCAATCGCATGACCATTACTGGTCTTTACCTTTAACCTGCCGTTATCGTACGCGCGCATAGTTAGCGCCCTTCCGGCATAAGGAAATGTTTGTTTGTTTCGGCTACTGGATTACGAAAACTGATAAAACTGGTTAATTAAAATGTTTGAACAAGTATTTTTGATATCTGAATATTTTTATTAATATAAAATGCAGCTTTCGGTAAATTTATTTGTTAGAGATCGTACATTTAGAACACCTTTTTCGTTGTTTATTTTTCATCACAGTCCCATACGTTGACATCTGCGTATTTCAACGAGTCGGTTGTATTTCATGCATCCACACCTAATTTAAATCTCACTCAGATTTCATGATCTAAATTCATGACATGTACTTTCAGGGATTATTTCAAGTACATTGTGTCTATTCTAGACTAATCATGTTTTTAATGGTGTTTCTACTGATATTTATTGAATTAAATGGAAATTACGAAATAATCTGTCATTGATAAAAGATTTGCCGTGTAGGTTAAGGCCCTTTTGGCGTAAGGAAAAAGATGAGATACGCGTTAAGGCCCTTTTGAAATTCATAATTATCTTCATAAACAAATCGAATTTCAACAAGTGAAGCACATCATTTTAAAGAGAATGATGAAATATACAAGGTCATGATAATAACTCAATAACCCCCAAAATCGGGTTAAGGCCCTTTTGGCATAAGGCCGACGATATGTGAATACCCATTTGTTACCATAAGTGTGACATATGGCGTTTTGAGAGGTATGTTTTAGGTGCTTAAAGTAGACTGAAAATAATGTTAGGGCTGTTTAACAGAAGGGTGAGTTTTCAGCACTACAGGTGTGATTTTGTGCATGCTGTTTGTGTGTGTTCTTTAGCACTATATTGGGTGCAAAAGTGTTAGCACTAGTAGTGCCGTTTTGGGGGCTCTAAAAGGGGTTATTTAATGCACTAGACGTGCGGTTTTTGCGAGCTGCATGCGTCTAATAGCACCAAAAGAGTAAAAGGGCTTACACTTAAAGTGTTTAAAGAAGCACTTGGACTGGTGTTGAAGTATAGCATGTGTACACGTGCTACTTAAACACAATTTGGGCAGTTCCTATGCCTGCCCTTACAGGTGCTGCTTCCAAATCTTGAGTTGCTAAAATTAGCACTTGATTTTTTAGAGTGTATGGTGGGAGCTATGCCTCTGGTTTATAGGTTCCGAGGGGTAGCTAGTTTTGAATTAGTCTTTAAAAAAGATGGAAGAGGCAAATAATGTCGATTGTAGCAATATAATTCGTATTTCCGAAATAAGGGCAATGCTAAACTGTCGGGATCGAGATGTCAGTCGTTCGATGTTTCAAATAAACCATGAGGGTAATGCACTTAAAGCCCTCACTCTGATCGCCCTAGAGCGCACGGCGAACGTGACAAACGGATCCCCTTGCAACAAGTCACTGCCCCCAGCAGCCAGAACACCCAATATACAAAAAATATCGCTTCACCAGGCAAGCCATTATTCTCTGCAGATACAACAGGAATCAATGAGCCGTGGCTACCTTGGCGCTGCATTTCGCGACAGGGGAATAAATGAAATTGTCCCTCAGAGAAAAGACATAACCAAAGATGGACAAATAGACAAAGGGTTGTTGCAGATTAATTATTAGCACACTAGAAGCATTGTATTGTTGCTTCTGCCTGTAATCTTTAATAATTTTGAAGGAAAAGTTTCAGTTTCCGTTTGAATCCGAATAATGATATAGATTCAGGGATTTTAGTTGGGAGTTCATTCCAATACTCTCAAAACTTTGATTTAGTTTATTTATTTATTCTTTGAATTCACAATAAAAACATGATATATATATATATATACACAGAACATTTATATCATAATATGAATAGACATTTAGAACAAAAATAGTATACAATGTTAAAAATAAGAAAAGAAGAAGACAATAATCGGAAAGACACCAAGTTCAGTCAATCCATGGAGACAAGACTGTTCTTCCATGGGGTCCAAGATGATTGTTATGATATTAAAAACTATGTTAGGCAAGCTATGGTAACAAATCTGAGCAGCGAACGACCGATTAGTAGCCTGCTCGGTCGCCGCTGGAATTTAGGCATGGCCTAACGATTTTTTTTTGGAGAAGTCGAGCAGGCTGTAGAGCCCCAGCGATGCCTGGGCAGTGCCCTGTCGATTTTCCGTCGGTCGCCGGTCGGTTTTATGTCAAGACAGGGCGAAATCGGAGAGCTTCTCCAGGCGGCGTCCCGGCAGTGGCCGACCGATGACCCACCGATACCCGAGCGGTCTCCCTACGGCCAACGGCTAATTTTTAGGAAATTGCCCGGCAGCCGGCCGGTGATCGACGAGGTGCCAAAATACGCTCGGTGCGCGGGTGCTCGTCGCCCGGACACCGACCTAATCGAGCGATCGCCGTCGAGCGATTTAGGTCAAAAATCAAAGCCGCTAGGTCAAAGGTTGCTGACCGATTTTGAACTTGCGCCCAGTGACCGACTGATCTCCCAGCGGCGACCGGGCGGCGAACGCTCACCAGCCTTTGACCTAGCGGCTTCGATTTTTGACCTAAATCGCTCGACGGCGAACTCTCGATGAGGTCTGTGCGCGGTCGGGGACCGCCCGGGCACCGAGCGTATTTTGGGCGGCGAGTGAGCAGGCGCCGCCCAAAGTTTAACTCCGCGCTAAAACTTTACCAGCGACCAGGCGATACCCTAAGAACAAGCGGTGCCCGGGCGGCCGCCACTCGGTGCTTGGGCGAAATTGGCCCCAAACTCGCCGTCCGGCCGCCGAGCAGGCTACTTTTAGGTGATGTGACCATAGCTGCAGCGTCTCACACTATAAACATGACGGACAATGAAAGCGGACACAATATACAGTTCCTCAGGTAGACAAAAGAACATCCCTTCACTGCTATTATGTAAAAAGGTGAATATGCATGTGACACCTGTTATAGACATTTTTACATAATAGCAGTGAAGGGATGTTCCTTTGTCTACCTGAGGAACTGTATATTTTGTCCGCTTTCTTTGTCAGTCATGTTCATAGTGTCAATAGCATTTACAGATAATTGTGACACTGCTTGGTGTTACACCACCAATCCTGGGATTAGATGGAGTAGTGTGATGTAGGTTTCCTCGACCCCAGATGCAAAGGTAGCGTTGTAGTGTTAAAATGTGAGCAAAGCGCTGTTCAAAATTAATTAATGTTCAATTCCATTCAATTTAGTTCAATTATTCACTCAATATATAAAAACATATACATGTACATACAGTTGCGTATGAACGCATATGATAAATATAAAAAGATGGAAATAGTCAAATCAGGAGTTGGAACCACTAGTAACATCAATTGAGTGGGGATCAGATTAAAGATCTGTTTAAAAAGTTTGTGTGCTCGACCCAATTGTGATGTATAAATTTCATTAAATATTGTTGCATGTACAACACACTGTTATATTGGACCATTTTGTTCGGTAACCTTAACCTATGTGAATGAGCTTTTAAAGAACAATATTGGCAGCCAATGTTAGGTGTTGATCCTTCATCTATTGGTTGTTTATCAAGAATATTTCATTCAAACGTATATTTATATATTTATTTGTTTCCTCATTAATTCATATATTTATTTATTAACATCTGGTTATATGCGTATAAATTCGTTTAAGTATGTATTTGTCAATGTATGCATTCTTTAACTCACTTTCATTGTAGCATTACATGGCGTACATGATGCCTGTCCTCATGTGACTATGTCATGTCCTTCGATCACTCTGGAGAGCGGTGAGACTGTAGAATTGATCCCGAAACCGATGCAACCCGATTTGGACTGGTTAAAAGCCAACCTCCCAGCAGGCCTGCCAATTTCTGATGATGTCCGGCTTTACTTTTGCAGCGAACCAGGTAGTATTTTTATGCAAAGTCCCCAGCATTTGTGTAATACTGAAATGAAATAGTTTTATTAATATATGGAAGGTTTATAATTCCGATAAATAATATACTGTGCTACCTCGTTTTCGAAATAACAAATCCTATTTCATCTTCGGAAATATGAACCTTCGGAATTACAAAAATATCGGATTAAAAAATCTCCGGAATAAACGAACTATCGGAATTACAAACCTGGTAGAAGGTTGGTACGTGTCATATACTTATTTGTTGGAATGTCATTTAGCACTGTATATACAAGCTACAATGTTTATTGTTAATTTGTGATTACTCGAGAAACAATAACACTTGTTGATTTTATTGCTTATATGAGTGTTTTATATATGTATTGTGAAACAAAATATTCATGTATACCAATAAAGTTTACTAATGAAATTCAAATTCAAATTCAAACCTTTGGAAAGACGACATGTAACCGAAAAATAAGGCTGTATCCAAAACAATGCATTTTTGTTTCAATTAATATTTATATGGCACTGAAGAAGAACCATTTTTTGTGTTACTTGTGGATTACCCTATTACTTTGACCAGGCATTATATAATTATAAAGATGTCATTCATTCAATATAATTACAATTTTATATTCAATAATAGGGGATGTCGTGATAATTATAGTGGTTAATTCAACCATACAGGGTTTGAATCTCAGCCTGGCACTAAAATTTGCTTTGGCAAGGCATACTTGTCCCTCTCCACCTAGATGTAAATGAGTAAGTCTTTCGTCTACTTTGTGCATGGCTAATCGTCAACAAAACGGAGTTAAGTCTTTTGTCAACTATGTTTGTTGCTACGGCAGGTAGACAGTGAAAACGAATTTGTTTTATCAAATTATGGAAAAGCAAGCATTACTTTAAACAAAAAATTTTGATATTCCTCGCTGATTTTTCCTGATTGAGGAATCATATGAAAGGGTAGAAAATGGACTTTCTAGAAATGTGATTTTCTCGTTGAAATTCAGATACCGCCCGCCAAAAATATTTTTGGTTTCCTTTCTTCAAGTTGTTTTTAATCAGTCATGTGTGAAATTATATGAGTTACATAAAAAAAGATGAGGATCTAAGCTTCACAAATATGTGTCATTTATTAATTATAATTGTGATTAAGTTATTATAAAACATCGATACTTCTCGGTTTCGTTTTTTTCTGGGACGCACTGCATATGACTGGAAGTGCTTTCAACAAGACGCAATTTCACGGACCGCATTATAAATGAATTGCCCCTTTCACATGTTAAAGGTGTCAATTTAAGTTAATCGAAGATCATAATATACCAGGGCTGCTGTTGAATAAACAGGAACGGAAGTTTTCCGATGTGCGCTACAAAGCACGCAGATCAACTACGTTACAACGAACAACATGATCAATAAATGACGCACGACTGATTACAGACATTCTGAAGTGGCTGTGTCCGAAACCCAGATCAGGTCCGTCATTTGTCAATTTGAATGGAACTTAGGGCACACCTCCGTCACATTTGATGGTTGAGGGGGGGGGGGGGGCGGCATCGGTCTAACTCGAAAACGAAATAAGAATTTACAAGACTACTGTTTAGGGAGATCTAGTTGCCCAGGCGTATTTGTTTCAATTCATGTCACCCCCCCCCCCTTCCCGTTCTCTCTCAAGTTCTCGCTTTCTTATTTATTTTTATTTCTTAGCCATTGGATTGGACACGACCTCTCCCGTCCCTTGTTTTTACACCACTGTTTTGGGTTATTCACTTTCTTATCAATGTTTTTTTTCTCCCTGTGTTATTTCTGTCACCAGCATGCCTCTCAAACCCTTGTCTTCATGGAGACACTTGCGAGGAGACGGATACAGGATTTACTTGTCTCTGTCTAGAGCGCCACCATGGTGAAAGGTGTGAAAAAGGTAAATGGGAGTTGAATGATTTGTTGTGTAAGGGGAGGGACCCTTGTCTAACATCGAAATGATTGTACCTATGAAGATAGCGAGCATGGCGAGATAATATGACTAGCATGGTTTTTACAAAAGTAAAGCCCCGTCTTAATATAACTTTTTTTCGATCTCACCCGAGTGACATGTCGACGAGAAACAGTGGAGGTCTGATCGTAAAACACACGGTGAGCTTTTGCCTGGCTCATGGACACCGTCTTAACCAGCCATCCGCAAAAACCTCACCCGGGTAGGTTACCATAACAACCGCACCTCCCTCATCGCGATCAGCTGGCGCCACCGCGATATCACCTTGGCCCGACTAGGGTGAAATTTACCTCGATGTCACCTCGATATTGTCCGGACGTTAACCCGACCAGTATTGGAAACGCCCCAATTTCAAAAAATGAAATGGAAGCTCTTATTATCAATCATGTGAAACAATATGTTTTGAATATTACATGACGATAAAAATGTTGACGGGAAACCGCCTACTCATTGATATATTTGGTAAATTAGTATATCTATATACTGTTGAGAGATACAAATGCACGTGTCGCGCACTTGTGTTTAGCCCCATATACATCTTTCTGTGTACAGTGCTTCTAACTCTATGAAGACTCGGCCAAATTTCTTATACTTTTGATGATTCCAGAACCTTGCAGTACATCTATGCTAGATGATCAACCTTTTCTGATCGATTTCACATCGTTTCTTTCACTATGCAATTGCAAGACCATAACTGGTCTTTAGCTTTAAAACAGGAAGGTGGTAAATGTCATCCGGACAACATCCGGGCGGCGACTTTGCGTTTTACACCCTGGCCTGGACCTTTTCCCAATAAATTTCAAGGAACCGACTGGGAAAAGTCTATCCATGACAAGATATTGCGCGCGCACGTAGCTCTTCTGCAATGCTCAACGTACGTCCTATATGTCCAGTGTCGCGGTACGCGGTACATGTACTTTTGTATCGAGACGTACGAGTGAGAGAAAAACAACGAATAACAACAGAAGGAAATAGAGAAAAACAATAAATAATTAAAGAACAGAGAGGAAACAAAGAATGTCATAAGCAGAGAGAGAAAACAAAAACTAACTTGAAAGAAAGAGAGAAATTAGAGAAGGAATTAATCAAAGTAAGGAAAGAGAGAAACCAAATAATATTATGGTTTTTGTGGTTTAATTCCGCCTTCTTCAGGGTTTCAATTTTTGACGTGTAGCCTACTTTCAAACCATTTGCTGATTCGGACCCCCCCCCAACACACGTGTACACATATCGACACATACACAGACTACACTCGACATAATATGTGTAATGGTAATGTAATACATAAACTGTGATTTAAATATTGCACTCGTACCATTTTCTATTATTGTGGGATCACGTCTTTCATTTTTTAAATTCATGTCATTTGTTTCTAAGACCTAATTTCTCTAATTCTCTTGACCCCTCTCCCTTCATATTTGTTTTCTAAGACCTCCCCCCCCCCTCATCTCTCTTCATATTTGTTTTCTAAGACCCATTTCTCCCCCGCCCCCCCCCCCCCCATCTCTATTCATATTTGTTTTCTAAGACCTCTCTCTCTCTCGACCCACTCTCTCTCTCGTATGTATTTCTCAGACCCCTCTTTCTTTCTCTCTCATTAACCCCCTCTTCATATTTGTTTCTAAGGCCTCTCTCTCTCTCTTCATATTTGTTTCTAAGACCCCCCCCCCCCTCTCTTTCTCATTTCTTGATATTTGTTTCTAAGACCTCTCTCTCTCTAGCTCTCAATTCATGATATTTGTTTCTAAGACCCCCTCTCTTTCTCACTCCTTGAATTCATATTTGTTTCTAAGACCTCTGTCTCTCTCTCCCTTTCTCTCTTTCTCATTTTAAATTCATGATATTTGTTTATAAGACCTCTCTTTCTCTCTTTTTCCATTCATCACTTTGTCTAGTGTAATGTACAGACACATAACATATAAAGGAAATTATACACCAGTTTTACATGAATTCATTTGCACTTTATTTACTGCTTTACATTCATATACTTTTTTTTTTCGTGAAGGTAATCTAATCCTTCAATGTCAGAGAAGTAATACAAAAGATACAGGAGTATGTGTATGCATAAATAGTTATATAAAGTGCGACTCACTTAGTCTTACTCTTAGTTTTGCTAACTATGGATGCCTAACAGTTACAGTTAATCGTACTCATATAACTACAATTCAAAACTGGATTTACAGTATTCATACCCGCAAAGGCGTCTGCATTGCCACTCCGTCATCATCCTCGATGAATTCCATCGTGCAGCAAGCTTCTTAACTTGTTGTTCTGAACTTGAAATCCTATATCTTCTCCCTTAATCTTCAGTATTGCAGCTGCGTACGGTGTGTATAAATGCTGCATCGACGTACGTCTGTGCATGTACGATTCGATTTGGAACTGGCGCGCCCGATCGAGGAGCGTAGACTAGACTCATTCAAGCAGTTTCATTGCTATTTACCGGGAAAATGTCCAGGCCAGGGTGTAAAACGCAAAGTCGCATCCGGGCGACACAGCGACTTTATTTTCCTGTTAAGAAGGAGTTTAGATGCAAGTAAGTGCGACATTGCAAAGTCAGATTTAGATATTTGTAAGCAAGGAGGGGGAAGCAAACGATTGTTTACATAGAGGCACTTGTTAGGAGAGCAAGACAGCTACTACTGTTTCTGCTTCGATAAAAGTCGTGGTAAAAGCTGTGAGGATGGTAAGACATAGGTAGAAACGAAGAAGGGTTTGTTTTTTCGATGGGGAGGGAGGAGGCAAATCTTGGTCAAAATATTTGTCTCCATTGAGGACTCGGCGAGTATGAGGATGGTAAATGAGAAAGAGACATAAACGGAGGTTTTATTTAAGGGTGTAAATCCTCGTTGAACCCTTTTTTACATGTACATGGGGGTGACTGTACTCTTGAGGAGAGCGATACAGGAGTTTCCTGCCTCTGGTTTGAAGACCATTATGGTAAACATCTGAGGAAAATTATTGGCTAAGTATATGAAATAATAAGTACGGTCAAACCAGTTTAATAGTGGCCACCCCTATATAAACGTCACCTGTCTATAATCACCATGTATTTTGACTCCCTTGAGGAAGAAAAGAAGAAGATTATTGCCTTGGATGCTCTTACTTGACAAGTTTGACTGTTTTAGAAATAATCTACTGTTTTGTGTAGTATGATGAACACAATGTTTAAAGTTGATCAGAAAATGTGGTCATGTGACCTTATAGATCTCCATGTCTGCGCTATTGTGATAAACTATGTTTCTGCAATAGTTCCCAGGGGGATTTCACAGGGACTCCAGAAATACGTTTGTATGAAGTGCTATTAAAATGAACTTTAAGTGGAATCTATATTTTCATGCAGTGAAGTAGTGTATCGTAATAGTGACATCCTTTTCGTTGAATTTCCCTGCGCTTCGTCCAACGGGAACGAATGTTCAATTTAATTACATATTGACATCCCAGTTTTCATTTTAGCAGCAGGCCCTAGAAATATAGGAGTGGTAGATCACAAATCGTTCATTAACTATTCATTAATTGCAATCACACACACAAAAAAAGTGTTCTAATACGACTAAGGCTTGAGTACTTAGTGACTTTGATCTAAATATACAGGTAAGTTGGTCAATTTACGTATCTAAAAAGTACGTATCTATGACACTTTACATCGCCGTAAATTCTTGTTTAAAACTTGTTTCTCCCGGGTCACTAATTGAGTTCCGTTTTCTCTCTTTTCCCCCATAATATATTCGTCTTATTTTCATTGTAAACTATATAGATGTAACCATCAATTCGTTAAAGCTTCTTGGTGAAAAGAAAAATGAAGGAACGCTTGCCTTGACATCCCGCTCCAGTCCTAACACGTACGTGCTGGTGAATCAAGATCATTGGAACAAGAACTTATCCCAATTGGCATGTCAGTATCTAGGGTTTGAAGGTAAGACATTATCATTATCATCTTAATGGTCCTCCACTTTTTCCTATTATCATATATTCATAAACAGCCGTTTTCTTAACAAGCTTCTCTTTCCAGCAAACTTCCCTGTTAATATAAATATGATTTTTGTTTCCCTTCTAAATTATACTCTCTGTATGATTATGTTACCAACATATTTAATTTGCCTCTTTATTATTGTGTTGATGAGTGATGGTTTTATGAGCACTTGTTCATTTCTTATCTTCTCTGATCATGATTTATTCATAATCATTCTCAACAACCAGATCTTTGTGGCCTGTAATCTTCTCTCAATCTCTTTGTTTATGTCCAACACTCACACCCGTAGAGAAAAACTTATCAGATATAATGACTCAAAGCTATGTGTTTTGGTTTTCGTGGTAGTGTTCTAATACTTTTATTACGGATTTCATTTGATTAAATGTACCCCTCGCAATTACAATTCTTTCATTTATCTCATGACTACTATTTTTCGAATCCGATGCTAAATTTACCCAAGGTATTTGAAAGTGTGGACTTCCATTATTGTTTCCTATTATTTTTGAGATTCCATAGATGTGTTTGAGTCTTTGTAAAAATATTACCATACAATTATTTATTGTCAAACACTGGTGTTATGATCAAGACTATATATATTCTGGTCGAGTTGGAGATTTAAATTCCATTTTCTGGTTGATTTTCTCCCTCTTTAGTCTCTTATCCTTACCAGTTTTCAAAACGTTTGTTTCGGGAGCCTACCATAATTATGTTGTATGTCATCACAAATCAATTTTTGTGGTACTCGATGAAGTTAATAATTTTGTTTTGGTTTGCATTTTTGTCTTCAAAATAATATTTTGACCACTCTTGTATACTACTTTTTACTTCAACTTTATTGAACAAGGAGTATTTGCGACAGTGAGCGGTCCACTGTACGAGTCCCCGTCCGTCGATGTTCCTGCTGAAGCCGAATCAGTGGTTTGTCCTGCAAATGCCACAAACATCACCGACTGCTGGTACAGTGAGATTAAAGTGGGACATATAAACGCGAGTGAAATTATTTCCATTGTGTGTTGTCCCGGTGAGTAGTACTAATAATGATATTAATACAAATAATCATGATAAAAAATAATAATAATAATGATACTAATAGAGCAATGATTACAAATATGATGATAATGGTGATGATATTACAAATAAAATGATACTAATAATAATGATGATATGCCTCTTCTACACAGGGTAAACAGAGAGTTACTTCGTCAATAAAGCTTCATGAAAATGAAAACGTGTTCTACGTATACAAGGAGTGTTAACAAATGGAGACATATTTTAGTTGGCGATATCTTTATAACCTGCAGTGATATTCTTTAGTGTTCCTGTGATTTCCAACATAATTCAAGCGAAAAATACTAAACTAACGATCATTTTTAAAGGAATTTTGTAATATTGTTCAGATGAGAGAAAAGGGTGTTAAGGAATTGACGTCAAAGCTAAATGTACAATTTAAGTTAATCTGAAAGTTTGAGTAAAAGCGGATCATTATTAAATGATGACAATTGTGAAAAACTGATCCGATCGATTCCAGAATTCTCAAACTATATTATTATAACTTAATTAAATTCCAGTTGAATGTAAATCATCACAAAGCAATGAATCGGCTCTATAAACGATTCCAGACATTTAAGTGTCTTTGAAAGATTTTGTCAAGCCTCTCTCATATCTTATTTAAAAAAAAAACGGTTGGGAAATTCAAAAATGGTTGTGAGAATGTTAATGTTAATGTTAATCGGTTGTTAGAGCCCCCAATGTATTACTGGTAGCTACATGCTCCCTCTATATAGAAAAGTTCCCCAATCGGTGCATGTTGGTCCCCCATTATCCTCTTTTTCTTATTCTAGTTGATAGCTGAGTTAATGAAATAGCAACCTGTCAGTGACCTCGCTGTGTGTCGCTCTGTGTCTAATCCCTATGGCCCAGTAGTATTGACGGTCTTTAAGGAAAACCGTAAATATCTACGTGGTTCCAGAATTTTTTCAGGAATTTATGCCTGTTAGAGATATTTACAGTAGAAAGAAAATAATAATAACTTTTTATACAAAAATTACACATTTTTTCAGCAATCTTCAACAATGTTAACGAGTCACTTTAAGAAACGTAGCATTTCAAAACTCTTATTATAATTGCTTATTTTGCAAACAAAACTTGAGGTTGGATTTTAAAGATACAGTTGAATTCTGGTCATGCGATTGCATTGCAAAAGAAAAGGTGTGAAATGGATCAGAAATAGTTGATCATGTAGCATGTAAGTTTTGGTGTGTACTGCAAGGTTTTTGAGTCATCAAAATCATAATAAATTTGGCCCAGTCTTGGTAAAGTAACAAGCACTGTACACAGAAAGATGTATATGGGACTACACACATGATATCGGACCTACTTACATGGATTTTCTTATCTTTCTACGTTCATAACTCGGCCAGTATATATTTTCTACTAAAATTGTTTGGCAAATGACATTTATTTGTAATATTGGACATTCAGTGTAACTGTATGTTCCGTTTGATTCTGTGAGAATTCATTTTCTTTTTGTTTTTACTAGAACTCAAGTTTATCTTTAAAGAAAAATAAATACACAAACATTAAGACAACAATAATATTTTAGAAATAATGTACCCAAGGTAACAAAAATGTAGAATCTCTTATACATAAATAAGTGAATAGCCATGTGCAACAATCAAAATAATAAACATTATTAAACAATTTATTGTAAGCTCATGAGTACAACATTTCATAACGATGTTATTGTTAAGAGAGAAATGCAATGAATTACATCATTGCACAGTTAGCATTCCCCTGGCGCCCGAATGTTTTGGCGCAAGCTCCCAAAATAACATCAGTTATTGATACAAAAGGGGTTATGAATTAAAATTAAAAATCATTTACACGCAGATCAATGTAATGTAATGTATTGTTTTTGTTGCATAACCTAACATATATATCCATTTGAATACAGTATATTTTTCCTACAATATATTGGTTGCCATAATGATTGAAATAGAAATGAATAGAAAAAGTACGAAACTTATAATACTCCAAAGCCTTCTTCAGATAATTTCTTTTGCAACTTGTTTTTAAAAGATGTTTTAAATACAGGTTTAAAGGTTCAAAGGTTCAAAGGTTCAAAGGTTCAAAGGTTCAAAGGCTCAAAGGTTCAAAGGCTCAAAGGTTCAAAGGTTCAAAGGTTCAAAGGTTCAAAGGTTCAAAGGTTCAAAGGTTCAAAGGCTCAAAGGCTCAAAGGTTCAAAGGTTCAAAGGTTTAAAGGTTCAAAGGTTCAAAGGTTCAAATGCTCAAAGATTCAAGGGTTTACGTTTATTCTCCACTTTCTCATTTCGGATAAACATATATAATAAAACATAAACAAACAAAAAAAGCGCATTACCAAAATCGGTACAACAATAATGTTGCAACTCTTAAACAATGTACATACTTCTTAATCAGTGAACATAATATGAATGTAAGCATTATAAGATAGTTTTAAAAGATAATCATTCTTAATTAACATCACAATTTGAGAAAAAGTGGAGGAACCTTAAAACAAAAAATAAAGCTACTGGTCCTTCTTTAAGGAAAAATTCAAATTAAAAAAAAAAGGGGATAACGAGTTTAGTGCTAGGGCAGAGAGGGAAAAGAGACGAGAATAAAATAGACAAGAAAAATGGAGGAGAGAAGGTGAAAGAACAGGAAGGATGGGTTTGAAGAGAGAGCGAGCTTGAGGAGGAAAAGAAGAGAATATGAATTACAAGGAAGTAGAAGGGGAAAATGAAAAAAACAGGAAGAAGGAGGAGAGAGAAAGTTCATTTGTCACGAAATACAAAAGCGAAATGTGTACGCCTGATATATTAGGGGGCACTGATGCGTAATGCCATCTCTTTGTAAACATTTGAAAAATTGTACATTTTATTATTTACTTAGATGTTATAACCTTTAAAAAAATTAAGGAGAAGTTAGGGGATACTACAACATCCCTCACCTACGAAATTTTACCTAGGACGGTAAAATGCATTTTAAGATATCAAAATGCAACACCGCGTATACTGACGGTTTTATTACTTGGTATGGTGTGAAATATTATTTTCACTCTCGTGTTTTATTTACACTTCTAGGCCTCTGTCTTTCTACTCCGTAATATGTTTTTATTATTTATTGACCTTATTTTCAACAGTAAACCCGTGTAATATATCTGGTCCACCTCTCGGTCTTGAAAGTGGTGCTCTTCCCGATTCGGCTTTCTCTGAATCATCCTGCCACTTGGCGCATTGCAGTCGTGGTGGCCGCCTGAACTCTAAGTCAGCCTGGCTCCCAGACTCGACCGACCCATCCCCTTGGATGCAGGTTCAATTTGAGTCTAGTTATATCGTAACGGCCATAACGACTCAGGGTAAAGTAAACTACGACGATTGGGTGACGTCATACACTTTTTCGTCTAGTTTTAACAACACGTCTTGGACTGATTATTTGAACGTATACTCTGGATCAATCAAGGTAATTCCAAAACTGCGGTTCCTCACTTACATTAAAAAAGCTATTAATCATTGGTCTTTGTGATCAGAGATATACTGTGTGACCTCGTAATAATACCATGGGACAAAAGATCTCACATTTCTCGTTTTATGTAATAATGGGTGACTAAAAAAGTATAATGGGCAGATAAAAGGCAAAATAGCAACATACATAATATATGTTTAGGCCTATGTATATAAAAACAACAGAAGATTATTTTTACAACCCATGCAACTAAATGAAAAGAATATACACAGAATTAAAAGAAACAAGAAACAAATCTCTCACAAATAACGCCTTGGTTAAGCTAGCCATGTTGATAGGGAGCGCAGGAACTCAGGTAGCTCTTCTCCATTTTACACAATGTTGTTTAGGGTACTTAGATATGGACTTCATAACAAATGGGGGGAAAAAGAAGAAGAAAAAAAAGATGGCCATGATATACATAATTGGCTCTTCTTGACAACAATTCGTGTAGTCAGCGTTTTATTAATTCACAGGCCGTATATGGTTATGAACTAACGATGAGCTTCATTAAGACTAAGTTTTCTTTCCAATATTACTTAATGTCATTCTCATTCAATTTATTTTTTACAGATATTTCCGGGAAATTACGACCATGATAGCCATGTGACTCACACGCTTGCTAGGCCGATAGTTGGACGCTCTTTTCGGATCTATCCAAAGACCTATCACGTTTACTTTTCTTTGAGGATGGAACTATATGGGTATGGACCTCTAACTGATGCTATAGGTAAGTGCAGAGTACATGTAGGACTGATACTGCAAGAGAAGGTTTATATATAAATTTGCTGAGAAATTGAAAATAAAATAGTGAGCTTTGTATGTCAGTGGGAAAAAAATTGTCCCCTTAACTGCATTGCTCTTGAATTGCTCTCATCATTCTGCTAGAGACGGTCAAAACTTGAAAACTCTCGACGAAAAACTTGTGTGTAGTCCCTATCACCCATTCATGTGGGGAATGCATTGACTTCAGGCGCGGTTTGAAATCCTTTTTATTTCAATTTTTGATCATGTTAAAACCCCCGAGTATATATCATTTTGATATGTTCTACAAGGCCAACCTTTCGCAATTCTTCTGGAAAGTTTATGTCATAATGTGATGTTATGGCCAGTTCTGGTCATATTTTTGTTAGGAAACAATGCAGTGGGTTATCATGGGGAATGTGAAACAATTTTAATGTTAGTCGGTATCGAGTTTATCAATCGCACAAATAATGTAGTGTTCTATTAAGACCAACCCTTTATCATTGTCAGGAGAACCGCCCCATCGCACACTACCCCATCCTCCTGCGATCCGATTTTCGAAAAAACGGCAATTATATTAGATATAGAAATCTAAACAAACATCATATTTTTAATGTAGGTTCTGAATAATGATAAGAATAGTATTAACATGAATTGTTATATTTTTTGTATTTATTACACATCTTTAAAAAAGAAAGGTAGCTCAATCAGCAAATAAATGCTGGTTTTTGTTGAGGCCCATCATAACAAACAAGTATATACATTTTATCAACACATGAAAATATAAATAAATATAGAAAATTACAAAACACGATTTTAACAAACACAAAATTGCAAACCAGGTTATAAATAAGGATTTGAACATGAGAATAACGAAATAAAAAATATATATAAATGAAACAAACATGTAATTGCCATATATCTTAATTGAAGCAAACAGGAAAAAAAAAAAAAACAGCAACATACAACCATAATAACAAACCAATAAGAGAAAACAAGAAGAAGATATAATAACATATATACAAAGAGGAGGGAAAGAAGAGTTATATCATACCATAATCATATTACAACGTGTATGTTTTTTGCCATTTTGCCAATTCTTGTTTAAATGGTTTCATATTTTTGTATAAATCGAATGTGTTCGGGTAGTTTATTCCAGTTTGTTGGACCTGTGTCAAGAAATTACTTCTGATAAAAGGTCGTACGAGCATGTGCCATCCTAATTAGCATCTTATTTGTGCTCCTTGTTGTTCGAGATGATATCGCTTCAATATAAATAAACTTATTACCGAGTTCATCAGGTGCAGCTTTATGTAAGCATTTGTGACTCATACAACAAGATGCTCTAACAAACAAATGATCTATTTTCGGCCACGTTAGAATTTCAAAAATGTGTTCAGATGGGGTTTCCAACGAAAAACGAGATATCATATATGCTGCCCTTTTATGTAATCTGTCCAGTTTACTATGATCTGCTTCAGATCTCACCTACCAAACGGTACACCGGTAAATTAAATGGGGCACTACAAAAGCCAAGTACAGTTTGTTTAATTGTGCTTTATCAAAATCGACGAATAGATCGTAATTTCTGTTTCAAAATAAAGCAATACCTCCGATATGTATTTGTTTAAGTCAAGACTGTTCTCATTTATAACTTCCAAACATAATTCAATCGACAGCATACTGTTATCTAATGATCTAAGCTTTTGCTTTGATCCTAGCAGCATCAATGTTGTCTTATCACTATTCACTTTTTTCTTTTTTAAATTCAGTTATGAGTTCTGAGTTTTTGATCGATCGGGTGGGTGGTACATGCGCAACATTACTTATTATAGGCTCTGTATAAGCTTGGCTTGTTAGAACTCTTTTGAGTAATGTGCCACGGGATTCCATATCCTCAAACTGCTGGCGAACAGAGCAACAAGACCAAGCTCTGTAATTATTAGGATCTCTGTCCAGTAGTGCCGTGTCTGTGCCGTCGAACTGGGACGACCAAATCCATTGATTCATACATAATTTCTTTTCCCCCGTAACATGAGAGTAATTTTAATAGTTTCATACTATTAATTAAATGTAAAGTTGACTGTTATTGTATATATTTTTTTTTTAATGGGGGCACGCTACAATAGTCCTATCTCGCAACCTGGGGCAACGTGTCTGGCACGGCCGGTTGTAGCAACTACTCCGAAGATCAAGATACTTTAATCTCGATCTAAGGAGACACGAACGAACTATTCAAAATCAACTTATTTTTATTCAGCCAAGAATTCAGTTTATCATGAGCTTTTGTCAGTTTGAGTTCTACCTCTTGCTTAGTTTTTCCCATGGACATTCATCGTTTTCTTAACGAATTCATTGTAATTGTCCCCGTCAATGTCGTCTCAATAGCATTCCGTACATGTTTCTTCCCTTTGGTCTCATCATGTTCGCCGGCAAAAAGCCGGGACAGAATCAAGATAGTGATTTTACACATGTTAATCTACATGCGCAGAAGATAATTACTCGCCTAAATCATGGAAAATAGATGTGCAGTTTGATTGAAAAACATGCTGATATTACCAGGTAGAGGTTATTTTTAGATTTTTTGGTTGTGATTTAAAATCCCGTTTCCCCCTACTTCCTTATAATATTCCAGAGTTACAACGCACAGGGCTAATACAGATCATGGCCTTCTAATTGTTTTATAAGGTCATAGGTGTGTGCGAAAGTTTGCGAATCAGTAATAATACATTTCATATCACCCAAAATCTTCTGCTTTTCAACTTTGCTGCTCCCCATTGAGGATGCTTTTATTTAAGACACACTCTTACAGAGCACACCATCCAAACAAAACCCAAGCGAGGGAAACTGCTCCTTTGGCAATGACCGAAAATGCTTACGCAGTCGTTAATGTTAACACAGCTGAATGTTCTCATTAAGACGCACATAATCAGAAGGCGGCGACTATGATTGGATCAAAGAAAGAACACGTTGAATGTCCATCCGTATAGTCCATGGTTTTTCCACAAACAGAAATAGTAGTATCATCTGCATATATATATAAACAATGCCATTTGAGATGGTACATGGGAGGTCGTTAACATATAGAGTAAAGGAGCGGGGCCAGGATGGACCCTTGTGGAACTCCCATTGTTATATTTCTAAATGTTGATTTTTCTTTCTTAATGAGACAAATTGTTGGCGATTTTCCAAGTATGATTCAAACCATTTAATTACATTAGGGGAGCAACCACATTGATGTAATCTATTTAAGAGGAGAGAGTGGTTGACTGTATCGAATTGAGTGCAATTAATTCTTCTTGTCAGAATCGGCTTCAGATCGTAGACAATCGCCTGACGTCTACGAGTCTGAAGCCGATTTAGCTTGTCCTCAAGAAATCGTCAAATCCCTCGAAATCAATTCAATATTCAATTCAATTCAATTCAATAAGGGTTTATTCATATGACGTTCTTGCAGTCGAAGCTGAATTGCAGGTCATTTATACAAGGTAAAAGCATCATGATATTTAAAATACACTGAGCATAAAATAAAATAAAATTAATGACATATACAAGGAAAAATATACTAAATACATTTTTATACACATAATAGGCAACATCATTAAGCATAAACATATAAAAAAATACATGAAGCTTACTTTTTTTAATAATAATCGTTTAAGATACGAACAAAATAGGGAATAGAGCTATTATTAAAGCGATTGGTTTTACAAATAAATTGAGAATATTTCTGTACATTTCGTAAATTAAATTTAACAATTCTTTGACTTGGTAGCCATAAAGAACACAATTCATGCTTTCCCAACTTAATGGCGAAATCCAAACAAAGTTTATTCCTACGTTCTTCCAACGTTAACTAATTGCACAATTCTAGAGCATGATTATATGTGTCATAATTAAGTCCCAAAATAATTATAAATGCCCGTTTTTGTATTCGTTCAATATTATCTGTTTGTATACGTGTTAGGTTGGAATGAAAAAGTGGTGCACAATACTCTAATATTGGTCTTATGTATCCATTATAAACAATAACGAGATCACTAATAGGTCAATTAAAACGTTTCAAGGTACGTAACATTTATAACTTTCTATTGCACTTCTTAACATTTCCTTTACTTGAGTATCCCATTTTTAACCACATTGAATATAAACTCCAAGAACTTTGATTACATTTTCTTCATTTAAAAGTGTCTCATCAATATACAACAGTTGGTGAGTTTGATTTTTGTATAAAAGAGACCGTCATAGCAATGCATTTAGTTGGGTTAAGTTTCATATTATTGAGTAAAGACCAATTTTCTAATAACAATAATTCCGATTGCAATTTTGATATTTGTGTACAAGTCCGGCTTTCAACTATAGTTAAATCATCTACATACTTATACAAAGGGAGTAAACAATCTTGACATGCATCGTTAACCATAATTAGAAATAATATATGCCCCAATTTTGTACCTTGAGGGACTCCTACATTGTTATTTTTTACATTTGAAATACGACCTTTATACCTTACTACTTGTTGGCGGCATTCTAAAAAAATTACTATTAACGAAATGATACATGGTCTTACATCCAATTTAACAAGTTTGCAAATTAAAATATTATGATCAATCCGGTCAAACGCTTTAGAAAAATCGGTTAAAACTATGGTTGAAATTGTTTGTTTTTTTCATCTGCATTTTTGCATAAATTATGTAATATTCCAATTAAATAATGGCAAGTAGAAAGACCACGACGATTTCCATACTGGTTTTTATCAATCATATCACCAATATCCTCCCACAACCACTTAGTAATGAAAGTTTCAGCTATTTTAGCAAAGTAAGAAATTAGGGCTATGGGCCGTAATTCAGGTAGAGTTGGTGGATAGGATTTGGGTACTGGTATTATCTCGGCATACTTCCATACTTGTGGAAACACCCCTTGCTTAAATGCAAAATTAAGAATATAACATAATATATAAGATAATTCATGAGCAAATTCACGTAATATTCGGACAGGTAAGTCGCCTAAAATAGTAGATTTTTGTAAATTAAGTTTACGTAACAGATCATACACTTCTTTCGGTTCTATTATTGAGCAATCCACAGGTGAAGGTAAATATGCTGTTAACTTCGTTTTATCAAGTTTCGGTAGGTCTGCTGCCACAGATAAAAACTTTAATGCAATCGGCTGCTTCCGGCTGCTTCCTTAGAATGTTCAGGCTGATCAGTTGCAATACGTGGTATGTCAATGGATGGTTGATCTTGAGGTCCTTGAGTGATGAATTTTATATGACGATACCAATCAGCGGGATTATGTATTTTAAGTGTATGAATTCTTCTATTATAAAATGAGTCCTTAGCTAATATTATTGCATCTATAACTTTGTCTCTAAAATATGTCCACAGCTCTTTATTACCAGAGTGCCAAGCTTGCTGTCTTCGTTTAATTATCTCACAAGATATCCAAGGTTTATCGCTTGCGTGAAATTTGACAGTCTTAGTAGGTAGGGACTGATCAATATGTTCTCGCACAACACTATAAAATAAATGACACATATCCGACGGGTCGATGATTTGATACAAATCTTCCCACGTGTGATGGGTTATCCAAGTGCCAAACGCTCGGATTCCACTATATGTTAGAGGGCGCACTCAATTAAGATTTGATAATTCATATGACGATTCGGATCTTTGATCATTAGGATTCAGTACATGTTGAATATTTTCTATGAAATGTTGTTACATATACATGTACCTCGACAATAGGGTCGTAGTCAGATCGCATGGCGTGCGATTGTTTTTACTCATCCATCATAAATTCCCGGCGTGCGACATGCTTAAACATGTGAGTTGGTAGTGGCACCTTAACCGGTGTAAGCGAATAATACCCAGAGCACATAGGATCTTTCCGCCGTAGCCAATAGTGCTGCGTTGTGATGTGGTAGGGTTCCATTACTTTAAGATTCCAACGAATACGGGGATAATTTGATCACATTTCGTCTAGCGCGTATGCAAAGAATAATTTAATTCCATCGGCAATTGCCGAAAGGTGACCCTTAAAAAAACTAATTATTATCTTTTCCCTCTATTTGAAATTCTCGTTTAGGTTACGAGTTGTCGCGGGTTTAACTCCCGGACAGGCAGCCCCCCCCCCCCCCCATCTGTAAGAACATGAATATTGTAGATGATTAAATCTCACCATGGACCTGTCACATTCACACATTCACTGTCACATTCATGCTCAAGCAATACAGCAAAATATTGCTTAAAATAACTCATGTACACCTTTTACAGGTATTTTATTAGCAAAATAAACATACCTGTTTTTTCATAATCATTATAACTATTGATTACAATATACGTACCATTCTAAATTACAAATACCTCCCTTTGTTTGTACTACATGTGTTGTTTTTGTTTAGTTTTTTTTTTATCCATTGCTCGTATGTTTTTTGTTATTTTATTAGTACGTTATTTACCTTGTTGACAGGGTAGATTTCCGGATTACATTTAAGGACAAATATATTGAAAGGACAAACTTGCCTTGCAAATTAGTAGGAAATATAAGAAAAGTAGTGAGAATGTCCAGTTAAATTTTTAAAATCACTTATCACATTATCGATGAAAACTTCTGAAATCTTTGAATATCTGAAAGAAAAATATAGAATCAACTCTCGAAAATATTAAAGGGACTTTGTAACATTGTTCAGATGAGAGATAGTGGTGCTAAGGGAGTGACTTCAATGCTAGATGTACAATTAAAGATTATCTGAACATTTGAGTGAAAACGGATCATTATTCATGGTGCAAATTGGGAAAAACTGATCCAATCGATTCCTTAATTCTCCCAACTATATTATTCTACTTCTATGCTGCTACTTGTCATAGCCTGTTCAGCATCAAGACAAGGACAATTTAATTACATTTTAGGTGAATGTAAATCGTCACAAAGCAATAAAATGGCTCTAGATTCCATTCTTGACAGTTAAGTGTTGACATATTTTTATAACCTGTTTTATGTATTTTTCTCATGGAAAAACGGTTGAGAAAATTCAAAAATGGTTGGGAGAATTTACTGTTAATCACTGTTAGAGGGTGCCTCACATCAACGCCTTCAAAGAAAACCATAGATATATTTGTGGTTTGAGAATTTGTTCGGGATTTTTTGCATGTCAGAGGGTTAGTATAGTAGAAGGAACATAGTAAGTAACATTTTATACAAAAATTAAGCAATTTTTTTCATCAACCTTCAACAATATTACCGAGTCACTTTAATAAGTGTAACATTCGAAACGAATATAAAGTATGTTTACTCCCTAGATATGCACTCCTGTCTCTCCGTTACATGCTTACCGTTCATGATGTTCATGCAACGCATCTGAAATCTCTTGATATAATATTAGATATATATTAAGATATGGTTAGGAATACCGTCACGTGGTGCCAACCTTGCTGTGGTCCACGGTCCTGATGGCTTGAACATACCTTCCATTTCGGACCTTTACCGAATCTGTCATTGTCTGGCTTAAAGTAGATCTAGGGTCAAAGACGACGATGTTGTAAATCACGCCATTGACCGAAGATTAGATAGGGAAAGGGGTGGTCACGACAAACGTCGTTCACTTTGGAAGCACATGAAATTCACTCAAAAATACCAGACTCTGTAACCTGGAACCAGACAAAAAATGTGATTAAAAAATCAGTTCAAGATGTATGTAGAGAAAATTGGAAAAGGTTGATCGAACCATTACTTGTACAGAGGGAATTCATGAAAGTTGTTCATATGGAAAATACTGATGTAACCTGGAAGTCGATTATTTATAACTTACCTCAGAGCGTAATGAAGTTCACTGTTAATGCAGCAAAAACAAAAACCTGTACCGGTGGGGAAAAAGAATCTCTGATAAATGTAACCTTTGTAATTGTACTGGCACTCTGTACCATGTTCTTAATAATTGTGAAAGAATGCTCGACCGATATACCTGGCGCCACAACAATATACTACGCATCATGCTCAAACACATTATAAGTACTACCCAAACCTCGATGCCATATGTAATATGTGGCTGTATCAGAGCTTTATACAACAGTATCAATATATGTTTAGGGACAAAGTGCCGTAATTTAAAGAGGATACCGACCTTTCTCCGTATACAGTCATTAACAGATTTTATATGTGAATTCCATGTTAAATGTCTGTCAATGGTAATGCCAACAAATGTTGCTTCCTCCACTTCTATTAATTCTGCCCCAGATATTTTTAATCTCCCTTTAAGCACAGCCTTTCTTCTACGACTACTGAAGAACATGAAATTGGTTTTTGACGCATTGATAGTAAGCTTATTTGCAGTGCGCCAATTCTGTATTGATTTTAAATTTTCATTAACTTCACACTCATCTATTTGATCTACACCTTTGGGAAAAGTATGAAAAATATTAGAATCATCTGCAAATAGTCTGAAATTTAAATAATTGTTCACAGTTGGCAAGTCATTTATATAGATTAAAAACAGAGTTGGTCCTAAGACAGAAACTCTTCAAACAATAACATCTAAGTATATGCAGACATGGAAGGAGAAAGCATCAATGGGGGCACCATACCACCAAACATAATACGTACCCAACACAAACCAGACATCTGCCACATTGACAACAAAAATAAGGACATTATCATCATCGAACTCACAGTCCCCTTCGAAATAAACATGGACAATGCACATCAACGAAAACAAGACAGATACACAAGACTAACACATGACATAACAGCAACAGGGTGGAAGAGCACACTAATCTGTATTGAAATCGGTTCACGTGAACTCATAACCCCACAAAATAATTACCGTCTAAGAGAAATACTCAAAGTCACTAACTCAGCTAGGTACCCCGAATCCAGAGACGAACTATGGAAGGCCGTTCTATTTAGTTCTTATGTTATATTCCAGGGAAGACGTGAGCCAGCATGGCAACTGGATCAATACCTCACATTATAATTTATCAATTTGTATACATTAATTTTTAATCATTTCCTGCTTATCAATGAACTTGTGACCATTTAGTACCAAACTGGCAATATTTACCGTAATACGTCACTTATTTCGATTCAATTCCATTATTGACTAATGTATCATTTATGGGGATCTTTCCTTCCTCATCATAATGTTACAATCTTCTTCTTTTACCCTGTTCTGTACTATACCACTTCTGTTTTCTCTCCTTTTCTCCCTTTCTACTTTTCACCTCTTCCCTTTCCCTTTCTCTCTATCTTGGTGCTCCTTGTAATCATTGTACATTGTAACTACAATGACGAATATTTTGTATTATAATGTACTTTCCTATTGTATATATTTTTTATTATAACCTGCCGCCTAACTCACTGGGTTGACGGGCCTGGTTTTCTGTATATGCATGATCTCTAATAGAGACTTGATTTATCATCAAAGTAGTGAGAAGGTCAGTTAGGTGTTTTCGTGTTTGTTTTTTTCATTTTTTTTTTTCATTTTGTGTTTCTTTCTTGCAGCGTCGCTGAACCTCGATGCGAAACTTGGTTGCACTCCTCCTGTCCTCGGCGAGGGGCTCGGCGTGGAAGATGGTCGGATACCAGACTCTAGTCTGACCTCGTCATCGTTCTACGGTTCCACCCATGAAGCTTACAGAGGAAGGCTGAATGAAGTTCCCGTTGCAGAAGTATCCGCCGGTGCGTGGATCCCCGCCCCTGGTGACAACACTAAGTGGATAAAGGTAATTAACCCTAGCATGTTTTAAATGTGCGTTGAGATAATTTTAATTGAAGCGGACCCATACACTGTTAGAACAATGATCATCATCGTCGTCATCATCTTGATTTTGATTTGATTTGATTGTCCATACATCTGTTTTAATGTTTTCAATGGTGGTGAATAAATAAATTCAAATCAATATTATCACATAAAACGTACATAAAAAAATAAGCACCGCTTGAGGTGACGTCCTCTTCATAAATAATAATGTAAACAATGTACAGTTGAAAACTGAAGGTCAACAAAGAAAAATGAGAGAGAGAGAGAGAGAGAGAGAGAGAGAGAGAGAGATAGAGAGAGAGGGAGAGGTGCGTTCAGATATTAGCACCTGGCAAATATCAAGCCTGTATACACCCAAAACCCTGACAGAAGACCTGACTACTCAAATGATTATGTTATAACGTACAAGGATACATGCTACAAAATGATAGATATAGGTGTATGTACAAATACCGATGTTACAAAAAGAGGTATTAATAGAAATAATTATTTTTTGTTTTATAAACAAGGTTAAGGGCTGGTCAGACCCAATCTACAACGAAAACGAGATATGACCTTAGTATTGTTATCAAACGCAAGATAATCTGCCATTTTATAAATCAATATATTTTCTTGTTGTCATCATTAAAATCTCACAAAGGTTGATCTCGGCAAGGATACTTTGGTAACTGGTGTTATCACACAGGGAAGGTCCATATTTATCCAAAGGATGACGTCATTCCAAATCTCCTACTCAAGGGATAACACAAATTGGACCTTTACTCTGGAAGAGCAGTGTGGAGTACGACAAGTGAGTTTCATTTTCGCGCGTCCAGAATTTTTTTTATATACTTTTTTATATATTCATGGTCTTTTTACTTATGTATTTGTCAAATGTCTGTATTGTGTTTGCATCCAATTTTTTCCCCATATCTACATCATTATATAATTACATCCAAAAGGATGAACTTCCTTGTATGCAAAATGAAAGGATTAAAACAAAACTATTGAACAAATATAAACAGTTCCATTCTAAGTATGTATGTGCCTTGGCGATGAAGTCTCTGTGCCATGTTGCGCTTCTCATGGAAGAGTTATACCAAGTGATTCGAGGCAAGACATTAATCAACATTTGCCATCCTCCTTGGAGGTTTCCGGGGGTTATATGAATTGCATGGCCCTTGGGAATAGCAGCAGTGATACTGATGAGGCTTTTCTTGGTTAATACAAAATTATAGATTATTATCATCAATATTATTATTATTATTATTGTTTAAATTATTATTTTAAGAAACTAACACTCTCAATCACTTTCGTTCTCTTTCAGACATATGCAGGAAATTATGATGCTGCCTCAACTGTGACCATAGTGTTTCCTGAGCCAGTAACCACACGGTACGTCAGGTTTCATCCTGTAACATTAATTGGACCTGGGGCTTTGAGATTCGAAGTACTTGGTATTAACAATTGAACCTTTTAAAATCCATAGCTTTATTCGTATTCGGACTTTCACTATGACTTTCTTAACTGCTTCTATCTGTTGTGTTCTTTAAATTTATAAAAAAAAACTTATTATCAGGATGGATGTTCATTTTAAACCAGAATGTAGATGTTCGATGAAAGTAGTAAAATCTAAAAGTCAACGAGGAGGATTTTTCAGTATGAGAAAAAGTCGTTTTTCCCCCTGAATCATTCAGACGCGAATTGGCAGACTGAGATAAACCACCAATTTCCCGATCGCCAGTGGTTGTCGTTTCGGTGATTACAGTGTGTCAGACAGCTGGTATGCGCCCCGTCCGGGTTCATGCTGTCAGGTTGCGTTTGATCCAGATAGCTTCCTGAATCCTACTCGCCCAATCTTGGTTCTCTCTCGCTACCAGCCGCGTGTCATCCCAGACTATAACGTGATTTTATCTGACCGTGTGATTTGTTACAGATAAATGTTCCTTTTGAATGTAATAAAAGAACTCTAAAATCATTATCACAACCATCCTGATGAAACTCTTTCATAATGGACTTTCATGATTGTTTTTGTAGATTGATTCAATCTTTATTCACTTGAAAAATAATGTAAATATAACGTTTGATTTGTAGAGGTGTCGAAGTCGGGTTGCTTAATCACTTGACTGGGAATGCGGAGGTCGTTGGTTCGAACTCCTGCACGGCAGTTATGTCCTTGAGCAAGACATTGTATATACATTGCTCCTCTCCACCTAGGTTTTAAATTAGTGACCGGTAGGATACACAGGTAAAATGGCGACCAGCTGGATTGCTCCACAGGGAGTAGAGACTGTGCACATTAATGTGTGGAATAGTAATTGAATCCAATGACCGGGGCAATATTAATATTCTACGCGATTTGAAACATTATAACTGGTAAAGCGCTTTAGAAAAAAAAAAACAGTTATTATTAGTATGGTTATTTTTTATTAACATGTCTTTAATACCAACATACCATTATTTGTCCAATTATAAAGGAAAGGAGATTATTATTATAGAAGAGTATTTATGTTCAATTTGTCTAAATGATTATGCCACTGCTTAAGTCTATTGCATTGTTTACTAGCCCAGTATGCCGACGGTATTGCACTTGACCAAACACCACCACCATTCATTTCAAAGTGCATTTGTTAGAGTAAGCACTTTCTGTTCAGCGCATGTTTAAATACATATGCTATGTTATAAAACAACTGACAATGTTATGTTGACATTACAGGAATTTCACTTATACATGAATGTATAAGTTAATATGGTAGGTTTGATGGGAACTACAGAATTGAAAATGATTGTATGAGTAAAGGTCAATTAATTCAACTTGGTTATTAGACATGTTTTATTTTTAAGTGGAAGATGTAAGAGGTGTTGCGCCACCTCGTGCCGGAGACAGGAAGGGATATGTATGATGTGTTCAAATTTAATAGTTATTTTTATCTTGTTTAATAGATGTGGATTAAACTAAATTGAATTGAATTGAATCATCTGTATTGTATTACGTGTATAACATAATGGCTTGTTCAGACACAGATAATGTATGATGTGTTTATTAACATTTAATTGCTATTTTTTATCTTTTTTAATAGATGTGGATTAAACTAAATTTAATTGAATTAAATCATCTTCATTGTATTACCTGCATAACATAATGGATTGCTCAGACACAGATAATGTATGATGTGTTCAAATTCAATTGGATTTTTTTTTAATTTAAACGTGAACTAAACTAAATTGAATTGAATTGAATAACCTATATTGTATTACCTGTATAACATAATGGCTTGCTCAGACACAGATAATGTATGATGTGTTCAAATTTAATTGCTAATTTTTATCTTTTTTAATAGATGTGGATTAAACTAAATAGAATTGAATTGAAATTTCTTCATTGTATTACCTGTATAACATAATGGCTTGTTAAGACACAGATAATGTATGATGTGTTTAAATTTAATTGCTATTTTTATCTTTTTTAATATATGTGGATTAAACTAAATTTAATTGAATACAATCATCAGACAAAGGACTTGCATTTTTAACAGATTTTAGAAAAGCATTTGATTGTCTTAGTTGGGATTTCCTTTTTGAATGTTTACGGAAATTTGGATTTAAAAATGAATTTTGCAGATGGGTCAATACTCTGTACAAAAATGTTAAAAGCAGTGTCAATGTAAACGGTTGGTTAACACAGTGGCGGATCCAGGGGGAGGGGGGGCCCGGGGGGCAGGCCCCCCCCCCCCCTTGAAAAACAAATCATGCAAAATCACGCGATTTTTACCTTTTTTTTGGGGGGGGGGGGGTTGGCCCCCCCCCCCCCCCCCCTGGCGCTCAAGGGGGGGGGGGGGTGCAAATTTTAAAATTTTCGAGGACCCAAAACAAAAGATTGTGCTCACTACCCCTCTCCCCCCCCCCCCCCCCCCCCCCCCCCCACTGAGCGACTTTTCGGCTGGCTGAGTCGTTGCGATTTTTTGGGGGACTCCAAAAAAAAAAAAAAATATCCGCTTTTCGGGAGCAACAAAAAAAAAAAAAGGTGGGCCCCCTCCCCTAAGAAATCCTGGATCCGCGCCTGGGTTAACAGAACAAATTAACATAACAAGAGGCGTACGCCAAGGGTGCCCTCTCTCGGCCCTGCTTTTCATACTCGCTGTCGAGGTATTAGCTATTAAAATAAGAAACGAAGAAAATTATATACAATGCTCAAATGATTTCCATGCCGGAAAATGTAATGAAACTCATTGACTCTTTACTGTATACTTTTTTGTGGAATGGAAAAAAACACAAAATAAAAAGAAAAGTGGTTTGTATGAGTTACGAGTATGGAGGATTAAAAATGGTTGATTTGAATGTTCTGTTACAAAGTTTTATATTAAAGTGGATATTGCACTACTTCTCCCACGAAAACTCAAAGTGGAAAAAGATAATTGATGGTTTCTTTAAAAAAGTGGGCAATTTAGAATATGTGTTAAATAGTAAATGTACAAAAGATGATATGAAGTTTTGTTTAAAGAATATAAAAATGCCCCAATATTACAAGAATATGGTATATACTTGGTTTGACTTTAAAGAGATAGTAGAATGTAAAACGCCAATTGATGTACAATGTACTAATGTTAGAAGTGAAAACATATGGTTTAACTCAAATATAAGAGATCACAATAAAAATGTATTATTTATTAAAAAATGGTTCGATGTAGGCTTTTTGAAAATTAATGATATCGTAAAAAACTCTAGATTTATGTCTTTGAGAGAAATTGAAGAAAGATTTGAGAAAAAACATGCTTCTTTGTTTCAAGAATATTATATCATAGTAAATGCAATCCCCAAAGTTTGGAAACAGATTATGTTAAAACAGGTACATGTATATGATGAGACACGAGAAGAAAATGAAGGTGTCATGAAAAATGTTTTAATGAATGTTAACACTAAACGAAAGTCGAATTTGTTTTACTCTACGTTGTCTATTCATTCAATTGTTAGTCCTCCAATAGAAGAGAAATGGGAAGAAATGTTAAATAGTACAGAACAAATCGACTGGAAAGTCATATGGTCGTTTAATTTACAAGCTATGAAAGAAAACAAAATATCAGAATTCAGTTTTAAGTTATTACACAACTTATTACCAAATAGGTATAATTTATTTAAATGGAAATTGTGTAACAACCCCTTATGTTTATATGATGATCAGTTACACGACAATCTCCATTTATTTGTAAAATGCAAGCACACAAGATTGTTTTGGTTAAAATTTGGAGACATAATTCGAAAACTTTACAATGTTAATTTTTCTTTTGACAAGTTCGTTTTAATTAAAGGTTATAAATTGAAAAACAAAATATTTAAAAGTTTAAATTTTCTTATCATATATGCAAAATACGCAGTTTATTTAACATTTATGCAAGCAGAAAATCGCAAACTCATGTTTCATGAAGTCTCTTTTCTTTGTATTTTCAAAAGACTAATCCACAATCAATTAAAGATCGAAAGGAACTGTAAAACAAAAAAGATATGCATTTTTAAAAACACTGTTATTCAAGAAAACGAAACATGTTTTATTTGAACTATGCTAAGATGCTACGATGTTATTTCAATTGATTGTGTATGATTGTTTGTTTTGTTCAAATGCATATATTTATCAATAAATTCATTTTACAAAAAAAAAAAAAAAAAAATTAAATCATCTTCATTGTATTACCTGTTTAACATAATGGATTGCTCAGACACAGATAATGTATGATGTGTTCAAATTCAATTGGATTTTTTTTTTTTTTAATTTAAACGTGAACTAAACTAAATTGAATTGAATTGAATAATCTATATTGTATTACCTGTATAACATAATGGCTTGCTCAGACACAGATAATGTATGATGTGTTCAAATTTAATTGCTATTTTTATTTTTTTTAATAGATGTGGATTAAACTAAATTGAATTGAATTAAATCATCTTTATTGTATTACCCGTATAACACAATGGCATGTTTAGACACGGATAATGTAAGATCTGTTAACATTTAATTGTTATTTTTATCTTTACTGATAGATGTGGATTAAACTAAATTGAATTGAATTGAATCATCTTTATTGTGTTACCTGTATAACATAATGGCATGTTTAGACACAGATAATGTAAGATCTGTTAACATTTAATTGCTATTTTTATTTTTTTTAATAGATGTGGATTAAACTAAATTGAATTGAATTGAATCATCTTTATTGTGTTACCTGTATAACATAATGGCATGTTTAGACACAGATAATGTAAGATCTGTTAACATTTAATTGCTATTTTTATTTTTTTTAATAGATGTGGATTAAACTAAATTTAATTGAATTAAATCATCTTCATTGTATTACCTGTATAACATAATGGCATGTTTAGACACAGATAATGTAAGATCTGTTAACATTTAATTGCTATTTTTATTTTTTTTAATAGATGTGGATTAAACTAAATTTAATTGAATTAAATCATCTTCATTGTGTTACCTGTATAACATAATGGCATGTTTAGACACAGATAATGTAAGATCTGTTAACATTTAATTGCTATTTTTTATCTTTTCTAATAGATGTGGATTAAACTAAATTTAATTGAATTGAATCATCTGTATTGTATTACCTGTATATCATAAAGGCTTGTTCAGATATGGAGCGGTGAAGCAGGGGCGAATCAGCGGGAGGGGGGGGGGGGGGGTAGTGGGCACTTTTTTCTCCTTTTTGGCCGACGGGGGGGCGTCTTCTCTTCTTTTTTGAAAAGGTGAAATTAATGTTACCATCTTTTTTAAACCTATTCTTTGGGAGCTGGAGACCCAACTTGCACCAAATTATTCCAAGTAGCTGCCGTTTTCTAAGGTTGCACAATAGAATCTACAGGAGTTCTGTTACCTTTGATGTTGGAATGTTACTTTCGATGTAGGAAAGCTTGAGTATAGTGATTTTGTTTACTAAGAAATATCGTTAATATTTCACCGTTTTATTTGAACTAACAAAGGGAAAATCGAGCAGACGATAAAACATAAATAGAAAAGCCTAATTATGTTAAGAACTTTGCTTACATTTTTTAGTAGCAGTTTTAATTGGTGAAACATAATTAAAAATTGTCAATCCTAAAACCTGCAACTTCATGTGCAGTTCTTTATGATGTTGTATTTCAAATTAGTGCCCACACATGCCCAGGCGAGTCATTTTGAGAGAACCGGTCAATTTGTATAATTTAATTTTTCGAAAGCTGAAGTGATTTTATTGGCTAAATTTTCTAGTGCTTATAGAACATCTATAGGGGCATCCAAATATATCGATACTTTAAAGAATTACTATCCAGACAAACACATCTTAGAGATTGTCTCATACAAATAACTCCTGTTCAAAAATCTGACCCGCCTATTGTTCCTATTCCCATCCATTCCTATAATTTGACCCTCTTTAATTCTACGATTCCGTTTTCCTTCATTTTCTCCCCATGTCTGTGCTTTACTCTCATGCCTGTAACCCCCTTCCTCTAACTAATTTTCTCCCTCTCCCATCCCTTTCTACCTCTGTACCTTTCTGTCCCCCCCCCCCCCCCCCCATCACTCTCGCCCTCATGCTCTCTCCATTAACCCCTTCTCTCTCCCTGCCTCTCCTCTATCTCAATTTCCCTCTCTCTTTCACTCCTTCTCCCTTGTTATTATAACCTTGTATCTCTCTCTATCTCTCTCTCTCTTTCTCTCATACTCTCCCTTGTAGCGTCCCAAAAGTGATGAATACAGATACTTCTTACAACAATACTCAGAACACACATTTAATCATTGTTTAATTCTACATTAATACCATTTATTTCAAGCTATCCAAACATTCTTTGATCCATATATAACCATTGATGACATGATGTGACGTCACACTTAATACTGCGCAGTAATTGGTCAAAACAGCTTCTAGTCTTCTCTCGGGTCGTATTTGTGCATCCCTAAAGAGTCCATGGTCGGGTTCGTTGGCTGTGAGATTCAGGGGGTTAATCTAGATTCCATCACCGCCTCCTTGGCCTATAGAAAAAACAGACAACAATATGACATGTAAAATGCGATAAACAAGATATGGCCAGTTAAAGATAAAGGTGAGTTCTGGTTTAAAAAAAAATTAAACAAATTCTCACAGAATCAAACGAAACTTTCACTGAATGTTCAAGATTACAAATAAATGTCATTTGCAAAACAACTTTGGTAGAAAATGTATACTGGCTGGGTAATGAGCATAGAAAGATTATTAAATCAAGGTTAGTAGCCCCGACATCATTAGTTTAGTCACATATGAAGAGCTTGATTCCAAATGGAGCTAAATCCATAATTTATCAAAATTGAGTTATTTGTCTTAAAATACTGATTTCCTACATGGGGACGAAATGCACTATATAACTTTCAAAAATTTCATCAGGAAGTATGCAAATATTTAGGTAGCATATATAGCTAAATCCAAATCGGTTTCATTCCAAAAGGAGCTAAATCCACTTTGGGTACTTCTGAGTAAATCCCCTTTTTTATATCTCCACTTTCCCTTTAGCCATGTACCTTCATGTTGTTATTTATGTTAAAGGTGTCACCCTGGACCACTAAAGAAAACAAATCTACCCGTTATTTTTTATTTTTACTTAATTTTTAGATGTTGTGGATTTAGCTCCTTTTGGAATGAAACATGGATTTAGCTCCTTTTGGAATGA